GGCCAGTGGAGTTCCCCGATCCTCGTCCCTACTTCTCTTTCTCACTCTCTACGATCCACGCGTGTATGGTTCGTTCGCGCCGGCCGATATATCAGACTTTTTTCTCTATCGCTCTCTCTCTCTCCCTACCTCCCTCTCTCTCACGCTTACCGATGGAACGACCTCGATTATCGACCATGGAATCAACGGATCCCGAGGACTTCCCCCTTCTTCCTCCCCCACCCCTCCCCGCCCCTCTCACTCCAATGGCTGTGTTTCTGCGGTTAGGTATCGTGGACATGTGGCGCGACGATTGAGAACCACGTGGACGCGGCCGTCGCGACGCTACTATTGAGGTTTTAGGGTGAACCAGTTTAAAACGTGCTCCGTCTCTTCTGGTGATGTGTGCGAGTGTGTGTGTGTATGTCTGTTCGAATATTTTGTCATTTATTACGAATGAGAAATTGGAAATCGCGTTCGTGTGCCGCATTTGATGGGGAAGATGTGGTTTAATTTTGAGGAGGATTGTAGATTGTAATGTACCACCGGATGGTAATATCGAAAGCTGTGTGCGGAGAGAGAGATTTTATGTGGTTTTGACAATGTATTTCTTTTTTCTTTTCTTTTTCTTTGGAAATCTATTTTTTTTTTTTTTTTTTTTAGTATATGTATACTTAACACGTTGAACACCGTGGGAGTCATCGGTGACCGACGGTGCCAAAATTAGCAAAAGCGTTTAATTTGGATAAATGGTAATATTTGTGAAAATTTTCATCTAACGCATCACAGAGCTTATTTAAATTGTTTTATTTCCAACTGGTGGTATTGGAATGAAAAATTCTTTTCGGCGCTGTGCACAAGTTGTGTAGAATTGGTCCGAGCATTCAACGTGTTAATGTTTTATGTAAGGAAGAAGTGATTGAAAAATTCGATTCGTATAGATACATGTGGGAAATAAAGTTGGAAAGTTGCAAACGATGATACTTATTGTCGAACATTCGTTTTCTTTTTTTTTCGTTGAACACTGTTTTGCGATAAATTCAATATGCTCTACTATGTAATTAGTAGAATCTAATTTGATTGGATTACTCACGTGGGAAGTTCGATAACCTGAAAATTTAAAAAAAATTTGAAACTTCGCGGAAATGTAGTTTAAGTGGCGCTAATTATGAAACCATTTTTTATTTCGATAGTGAAGCAACACTCCCTGAAAAAAATTGTGAGTTTTCATACTAAACTGCACAAGAGACGAGAAAAAAGTTCAATTCGAAGTTATGTTCGTTGATGTGGTGGTAAAGAATCTTTGAGAAACATTATTCTTTTCATAAAAAATTAACAGTGGGGGATATTTCCACCCGTACAGACATTTTATTGTTGACACAAAAAATGATTTCGTTATTGGCATCTACATTTTTGCAAAATTTCAAAATTTTTTGAATTTTCAATTTACCAATCTTTCCTTGTCAATTAGATGCAAGGAGAATCTTTCTTCAGATTGTGCGTTTTTCTGTAAAGGGAAAGAAAGAATGAGTTACTGGTTTCACGGGTTTTGTTGAAATTTCGTTTATTTTAGTAATACTCGGGGAGAGTAGTTTGCGAGAGTTTATTGAGTCTGTACGAGCTGTTTAATCCATACGCTCGTGGATGAGTTTTTTTTTTCTCCGTTAAAAATGGTCGGTCTTTTTTGGTGTATTTTAAGTTCAGTTTAAGTCGAAAGTGTAGTAAACGTAGAATGTTTTATTGAATATTGGGAAAATTGTGCATTTAAGTTTTTTGTAAACAGTGATACCCTCGATACGATAGATTATTTGATAAATAAAGAGTTAAACTTCACCTGATCGTACTTTTTATTTATACGTTGATTTTTTTGTTTTATAATTATGAGAAATGAAATTTTCGTATTATACGTTACAGTATTTTCAGCAACGGTAATATGCAATTTATAATTCCTACGAATTGAATTCTTTATTATCTTTTGCTATGTTTCACTTCGTTTCCTGTTCTCTATTAATAAAAATTTTCGAAATTTTTCAAAAGTTAGTTATAAAACGTAAATAACTCTCTTTATTTTCACGTATATACATACATACCTACAAGTTTGAACGTTAAATTCCATTTGAATCATCGTAGTCGCGAATTACTCGGAATCCAATTCACGATACGAGCATTTACGTGCAATGATAAAAAAAATACTCTTGAAATATCCAAAAGCGGAAGTTTTTGTTTCTTTCACTCGCAAGACCCAATGGCCCTCAATTTTTGCAGACTTATCGAGAAATTTTCCCCACTTCTGTTATTGTAACATTCTTTCGTCAAGTATCAGACTAAACGTATAAATGAAATGCTTTTGTGAACACCAACTTTCACCAAGCATAAAAGGAGATATATATATATGTTTTAACCTAACATTTTTTAATGTACAATTGTAAATTAAATTTTTTAATGAAAAATTGCCTTAAAACGTGGCGACGTGAAAATCACGAGTGTTCCAATTATAATCTGAACTTCAATGTCCTCATTCCTAAAGAGAAGATACTGATTAGATTTAGTACAACCGTGCGTATTATAACAGTTTAATTGTTGGCGCATGAAGCTCGAAATGGTACCTCGAATGAAAATTTGTTTAGGCGCGAAATCTTCAAGTATAACGTTCGGCAGTAACGGCGTTTATTTTTAATTTTAAGCTTCCACCTTCGACATTCGGTGAATGCT